GTTAAAGCAACATGTGAAGTGTAAAAATATGGATAGACACTGGACTATTCACTATTCACAGCTTCACCTACGTGACCAGCAGCGTAAACAAGTCAACAATCCATATCCAGTCTTCAAGTAAGCAGCATCGTGAATGAGCCCGGACCAGCACGAGCGGGGACCAGCGGGCCAGCACGACACGAGCCAGGCCCAGCGGAGCGTGGGCCGCCCCCGTCCCAGCCGCCCGCGCCCGGCGCCCGACGGCAGCTACCACCTGCCCCGTTTACGAATCGTTTGTGATGCCGGGCCAGGTGGTTCGGAGCCCGGGCAGAATACAGAGAGTACTGTCACGCGGTGCTGGGTAGATGGTGAGTGGAGAGTGGAGAGCCGTCATGACAGACTAAGGCAGAGCGACTACCTATAGCTAACCATAGGTAAAAGTTGACCCAACGCACCAATCGAATACTCTACTAGCTGGTCTCTTATCAATAGGTACATCTCTCTCCTCCTACGACACGTTACTGTTTTACATATCTCTCCATAGTGTACATCAGGGAGCTACGTACGCCAGGTGACATCCGATCAATTTCCGAAAATTCATGACCACCGGCCCGTGACCAATATTCTCCGGGGTGAGAACAGCGCGTGACTGGGCGCAGTGCCTCCACCAGTGCGTGAGTTGGTCTCCTTTCCTCCCAGCCAGAGCGCACTGCCCAACCGGCACTCATTCACGTAAAGCGGAAACGAAAGGCGCTTAGACGCACTGCACTGCGTGTTCATTGCAAAGGGGCTGGATAGTGACCCCATGTGGCACGTGCCATGGGTAGGGGGCTGGGGTGAGTACAATGGCTCCCCTCGCAGGCTGGTGTAAGTATATGGGAATCATTAACGGGAGTGCTGCATGAATTTTAACCCTCGCCCATGTAGGGGGGGGGGGTTGGTGCAGCCCCCCCCCCCTGAGGTTTTTCGGAAATAGTGCAAAAACGGCGGCGCGCAGCGCCGCCAAATTTTGGGTACCTTATGGGGCAAACCTTGCGCATCTTTTGATAAAAAAAATTTGACCGGGTCATGTCAGGTCACGGAGTTATGACGTCACAAAGGGAACAGCCTCCGGCCGGATTTTCACAAACTGAGTGCCAACGCCCGAGGTTTCCTGCCGGTGGTACGGACATCGGTTGATGGATCGTGATGAAACTTCCCATGCATGTTGGGGCAAGTATTGGCTATCATATGGTATAAGAAACTTGACCGGGTCAGGTCAGGTCACGGAGCTATGACGTCACAAGAGGAACAGCGTCCGGTACTATTTTTGAAAAGCGCCCGAACCACTATTTTGCTAATTCTTGTCACCTCAATGGGAATATGCAGCAATATTAGCTTCTATAGGGAGCAAATGGACCTCTCAAATCCAAAAATACAATCAGATTTCAAAAATTTAAATTTTGATTTTTCGAATTTCTGCCGCCGACTGTGACCTTGCCGACTTCCGGCGCTCCCAACGCGCCATTTTTAGAGCTAGGGAAACGAAATACATACCAAACGATAGAGAATTGATCAAGGAACACGATAGTGAAGGTTTCAAGTCGATATCTCCCACCGTTTTGCCGCAATCGCCGCGGAAATTTGAAAAAAGTCTATTTTTCCGAAAATTTGACCTTTGACCGGTCAAAAGTAGGTCAAATGTTGACCTAGGACCAAAAAATATACCACCAATCGCGAGATCTCGGCGAGAGAAATCCGTTGGTCTTTTCCGCTAAGCTCTACGACGCTCCGTTTTCAAACGCCAAGGGGGGGGGGGTCGCACCAACCCCCCCCCCCTGCATGGGCGAAGGTGGCAGATCGCCGTTTACGGGCGAGGGTTAAAGGACTGCTGAATGCCGATAACTACCTACCCATGCCAATCTTGGTAGATTTTCAGCGACTGTGGTGGTTTGGAGACTACATAATCCGAATCAAGTTATCGCCACTCTGGTATTTCACGATTAAAATTAACCTCCACCTCCAACTGCGCACTGTACAACTGCGCACGTTGAAAATCGATGCAAAGTTGCAAGGCTTTCTGCCGCTGCAACCGCATGGCCACTTTGGAGCTTCGGCAACAACTTGGTGATTTCAGGTTAGGTAAATTTAAGAGTGACATTTAAATCCCCTTCGATATACTGCAGTTGTGCTTTTACAAAGTTACGCCCTGCTGGACAGTGTACGGAGTGCGTTATCACTCCTTGCTGTTTTTATCGGATAGTGAAAAACGAAGAGGACACCTTATCATCTATCTTTACCGCTCGAAAGATCAGGAGGCCCTTCCAATGTCTCTCAGCGGTTATTTTCTATGCCGCCTGGAAGCGTTCAATCATTGTATTTTAAACTCCCGTCGACAGGCCAGGTCGCGCGAAGTGGCAAAAAAGGTCGAATACGCCAAAACAGGTATCGCGAGGCAGCGACTAAATGGGTAACCTGCACATATCAGTTTCAAGTCTCATGTTAATATCTCCAAGAAATGTGCTGTCAATATCACAGAACTATTGAACATACATTTATCCGCTGGACCAGTCAAGCAATGACATCTCTTTATTTTTCTAAAGCATTTCCTCCAGCGATCACAATCACAACGCAATCCCACGTTCGCTGCGGGTGGCCGCAGTCTGCTCGCGCAACCCCGCTCCACCAGCAGTAGTGCCGCTGTCAGAGTGTTCATTGTTGTGGCCGGCCGGCGCCTACTGCGAATAAGTGACGCTGAGCGGGCGTCTGGATCGATTACATTCGCCCAGGTGATGTCAGCCGAGGCCACCAGGCCGGGTAGGGTCGTCCGGGCCGGTGGTATGGGCCGCGGTGGCCCGTAGGAATCAGGACAGCACAGGTGGCAACAGTGTTTGCAAGCGGAGTGGACCAAGGCCCTAGAGAATGGACACAAAAACGACCGAGCTTCGCTGAGGAGAGAATCTTATCAGTTGATCGGTTTCAAGAAAACAACTGATCTTCATTGACTTTTCGAATGATGATCAGCACGGGCCGATTTACCGTGCAATATATTGATTCTTAATTTCTCCCAGTTTCGTCCTAATAATTGACCTCAGAAATGTTTAGCTCCATGCGAGAATTGCCCAACATAAGATGGCACATGGTCACCACTGCAGCGCAGGAACAATTTTCTGTGCACAACGGCAGTGTCACGGTTACCCGCCTACGCGCTGCCTTTTCATGATCAGCCACTTCTCGTCGTTTCATGCCTAATTGGATACTCTCTGTCTCAGATCTCCACAAAGCATCAGCTAGTTTCTGTCTCATTGCCGCAACGACACCCTCACGCACAACATCCATCGCCGTCCCTACCCCTTCCACCCACTCCGTCACCGACAGGTCAGCGCCTTCCGCCAAAAACGTCACCCACCCACCGTCCAAATCCACCGCCCGTCGTATGGAACGACCTGCCAGTCCCCCGGGGCGCCGCATCGACCGCGACGATGGAGCGTCAACGTCGATCGCAGGCGGCGGTGGCGAAAGGAGGCGGGCGCGGAGCGCGGGCCGGCCGGTGTGGGCCGATGTGGGGAGCGAGCGATCGAGCTACGGTACGGCGTGTAATGCGTGGAGAGGTGGTATGAAGTCTGAGGATGAGGGGTAAATAGAGATGTGATCCGGTTTCATGGCCGAATGATAAAAGCAATCTTTCAAACATTAGTGAATGTTGTGTCGACAAGAGATCTCTAGAAATTCCCGATGATCCCTGAACTCTTCCAATCTCTCGCAATATTTATCAACAGGAGTCTGTTGAGTGGTCCACTGGGCTCTGACCGAGACAATTTGTGTCCGCGATACGCAATGGCATATGCCATAATGCAAACACGATGGAGAGTAGAGTAAGCGAAGGGAAGGGAGCGTAAAGGAAATGAAGGAAGGAGGGAGGAAAGGGGTGATAAAAGTTTACGTAGGTAACAACTCTGACAGCTAAACTCGCGGGAATTTCGACACGAAGTCGTACACTGGCAGAAAGTTTCCTTGCCTAAGTCGCCGGATTCGTAAACACCATACAATAACACCCAAACTTGCGGTATCTGTGCATCAGTAACTAAGACAGTCCTACACTACAACACTCAAACTTCAGCCTGCTGTGCATTAGTGAGTGAAACCGTCCCAGACGTGCCACCAAGTCAACACAGCAAACGAAAAGCCAAACACAAAAACCGACACGCCATCGAGCAGACTAATTGGCACGGCACACAGCGAAATCACGCCACCACACGGCCGAAGAGACCACCGCGGTGCCAGCTGAGCGGACAAGGCGGGGGGGGGGAGGGGGACGGCACTGTTCGTGGGTGGGGGTGGTTTTATTCGTGGGGGGAGGGTAGAACCCCGTTCTATTCATCAATGAATATATTTTGGGGTTCAAACAACTTTTCAGTGGGTAGCTGGAATGGTGATGGTAAGAAATGGGTAGCTTAGCTCCTCATTCAGGTTTTAACTCCCCGGTTGAAAATATCACCATTAGTACACATGGAGGAGGTGAGCCAAGCTCCAGGACTGCCACAACTTGACATGAATTAATATTTTTGATGGAGAAGATAATCGAGCCTTTTGTTCGTCTTGCAATGGAGTTACCAAATCGTGCGTCCCTTGTTTTAATATCCACAAAAGTTGGTATTTCTGGAATAATTTAAACGCTATTTTGAGGACAGCTAAAAATAGAAAGAGCAATATCCTAAAAAGTAAATAATAAATTTCAAACTTTCGGAATCCAATTCCGAGATCCGAGTTTCAAGCCTTGTAATTTAGTATTCCTTTTAATCTCCAGATATGTAACCTCTTACATGAATGGAGCGTGCCTTCCATTCACATGTAACATTTGAATTAATAACAAGGAATCGATGGCTCGGCAAAGTTTCGGTAAATCGGGTAAATTTTGCTAATTTTATTCAAATGTGCCTTTAGTCTTTAGTGGTGACAGTTGCAGTGGTTGTCACGGGCATCCGCATGGTGCACTGTGTAGTGAAACAGGGTGAAACGACTAGTAAAAACCACACACTCACGCGTACATTGCAGGGTACCGGACTCCAGCTGCCGAGGCCAGTGCCAAGCCTGAAACGAAGGTAGACAACGACTTAGGGCGGCGCAAAACAAACGAACGTCCAAGAAAACACGTCACACTAAAATCGAAAAACAAAGATAAAACACGTAACTTGATTGACGTTATAGTTAGAAACCACCGGCCAATTACCAGTTTTTCTTTTATGGGCAGACACTTATTTCAGTAATGGAATGTTGCACAGACTGCCTTTATATCAATTACGGCAATTTCGAGACGATCAATGCACCTTCCAGCGGGTGAGCATAATCGGTCCGATAAAAATGGCTGGCTGTCACCCGGAGCACCTCAGGAAATCAGCCGCCACCGAAAAGGGCCGCAAAAACAAACGCACAACAAATGAGCCAGAGGCGGACCATAAACATATTTTTGTGTGGCAAAATCGGTGGGACGATCACATGATTAAAAAAGCATTATACGCTGATTTACGTATCGAAAATTTCCGTGCTGGATATGCATGTTATGACAGAGGGTTTGCATATATGCATTGCATAATTGACTGGTGGAGGTCATAAAGCCCAAACACATTTCCAAATTCCAATATTCTGCTCACCAGGTATCAGTTACAAGCATCTAAGTTCCTAGCAGGGACACACAATAACAATAAACCGTGGCAACTTTTTAAGTTTTACATTTTATGTTTGACGTGTTAAGAAAAAGACATGGGCGACGTTTGTTGGACAGGTAGACATGCATTCTACAGTAGCATATGCCTCCACAAACCATGACAGACAAAAGACAACACATTGGGCACGATGTGGCGACTTGGTCAAAAAATAATAGAACAATGTTAATCGTTATGCGAACATACATTCTCAAATATTTGAAAAGCCCGAAAATCCCGTCACGTATCTCTCGCATGTATTCAATCATTCCGTACAGGCAGAAAAACTGCTAGAACTATTCTGAAGCATATTGCAGGATCATTGCGCGAAATGTCCAAGAAAAGTAGCTACGAAATAGGCTCACATCTTACTATTCTCTAGAGGCGCCTATCTTCAAGCGGAAAACGCTCGTACTTCCAAAACATCTCAAGATCGGATCCAAGGACCGATGAAAATTATATAACTAAGGAAGGACAGACGCCGCAGCTGGTGTGCTAAGAGACTGGCGTCTTGTATGCTTAAAGTGTGTTATACACGTGTGCCTGGCGCCTTGTACGCTTGGCGTGTGTGCCTGACGTCATGCGGCCGGCGTTCTGTGCGCCTGGCGTGCTGCGAGCCGTTACCCCCACATTTATAATCGCCGCTGCCACCGCCGCGATTTGGCCCCTGCTTTAGGCCGCCTCAGCTGCGACACACCAAGATTGATGGCGGCGTATTTCATGAAAAGCACATTAACCATGGGAGTAATGGACCAAGAAAAATGACTGCCCACAGGAAACCAAAGTTGCGTGTGGATTTGCATTGGTTTGTATTGGGGTCGTGCCATGATATGAATCAATTTCCCCAGTTAAAATAGTTAGGTATCAAAAAGGGTTGCATGATATGCGGGCTAGATTTAAGAACAAATACTTCTTCTGAAAATGTTATGAATAATGACATTAAATTTAGAATTCAGTTTTCTTCTCTGAGGCAATAAGGGAATTCATCACAAATTTCCTGAATTTCCTGACTCTTTTGATCGACGTTCGGTCTCTGAAAGAACGATATTTTACCGTGAGAAAGCATATTGTAGGCTGTAGCCTACGGCAAAAGCGATATTACATCGTAAATAAACACTGAGCGCAGAAAAAAAAACGTGGTAGGGTCCTTCCATAAACTGTGGAAGAGTCCCGTTCCGAGATAACGCAACCCAACTAAGAGACCCCAAGATCCGCAACTTTCTGCCGAGCTACTGCCCGCGCTCGGGGCGCCAGTAGCATACCGAGGGCGCCGCACGAGCTTGGCGCCCGTCCGGGGCGCCCGGGGCACCGGCGCCATCCCCGCACACAGACAATGGGATCGCCCGGGGGCGCATTGTTGGCTGGCGGTCAAGACGAACTGTGAGCCCAGACAGATGTACTCCGGCACCGCGCCATCTGTGCCGACGGCGAACAAGAGCGGGATACACGCCACCGGAGATAAGATCTTCCTCTCAGAGTAAATAGAACCGAGCAACAGGCACTCACTTATCCGGCCAGAGAGCCCAGCGGTGCAGGGAGAACGAGGGAGCCCGCGCTTTGTAGCGGTCTGCTGAAAGGTAAATACAGTCGAAGCATAAAAGATGAGACAACCGTGGTACAGGTAACTATAAACTGTGCCGGTAAAACTATTCCAGCCCATTTCTGACTAAAATATGCACCTGGCATGGATATTTTGGATTCCGAAATTCCCGGTTTCGATTGCAGCTTGATTACCGAACTAAATCTAACCAGAACTTTCTGGCCCTGGCACCGGTTCTTCTTATCTGGTGCCGCTTACACTGACCATTAATTTAGAACCACATGTAATGGATCGATGCCACTGTCTAATCTCGGAGCGATGCCAGCAGACAGGGCGCGTCTCGCCGCCGAACGGCGTAGGTCCGGTCACCGAGCTAATTACGGACGGCTTTGTTGTCAGCTGTTGGTACCGGTGCCGAAGTGACGTCACAAAGGAGCAGCTGATGGTGAAGTTCAACAGTCCAAAGGGACATCAAACATCGGAGATGACGCCAAATCTAGCGAATAGTAAGTAATGAGGATTTGACTTTCTTCTTCAGAACGAGAAACCCTGATGCGAAAACATCAAATGCGCAGGGATTACGGAACGCACCACGATGTTCCTAAAAAACATGATTATCAAATTGCATTACAAAACAAAATTTAAAATAAACAGCGAATTCGGAATTGACTAAGCGGCCTTCCAAGACCCAGCATCACTTTATAAATTAGGCTTGATATACATGAAGGCCAAAAGTAATTCAATTTCAGTACACACGCGATACTGGGTTCGTCAGGCACATTGCAGGTCAGCAATTTAACCCTCGCCGGGCCTATTGGCTTTCTACATACGCGCCGGCCGAAGGGGGGGCGGGTACGACCCCCCTCGCCGTTTCGCCCCTGGTGGAGCTAGCGCGTCGCAGAAAAAACGAGCGTGTGCGCCGTTACAAGACACAGAGATTGGTACCCGATTTTAAGGTCCTAGGTCAACCGGTGACCTCTGAGGTCAGGTCAAGTGCCCCAGGGTACGGTTCAGTTTTTGGTGAATAACTTCGCAAAAAACGGCCGCAGAGCCGCGATTTTGGTAGCATCGTGTTCGCCTCGCTCAGGCGCGTCGAATGATATACTTTTTGTTCGGGTCAGGTCAACTTGGGGTGTTGACCTCAGGTCAAGGTCAGGTCAGCACCCCCAGGTCACGAAGTTGGTCGAAAGTGGTCATGTCGCATATCATTCGATTCGGCAGGTCTTCCTGAGTCCATTGGTGGCTTTCTCGACTCGCTAGCTCGATTTGATCGGGAGTTATTGACGAAAAACTAATATGACCTTGATGACGTCATAAATGACGTCACGGAAGGTCAACATTGCAAAAGTGACGCATCTAACCTTGCAAGGAGTGCATCAAATCACGATTCTATGTGCTTGAGATAGTTGGAGATCGTTCCCGGCGCCAGAATAGCAGTTTTCATTTTTCCCCATTGACTTATAATGGTGAGGTCAGGAAAATGACCTGACCTCATATGACCTTTAGGAAAAATCCGAGATATACAAGTTGTAAGACTCATAATGAATACTAGATCCTGCAAGTTTCATTTCCCTGTGACATCTCCTCTGGCAGTGAGGGCGTTGCGAAGTTGCGACATCAGAAGACCGTGCAGAGGTTCACTTATGACGTCATAGGTCAGTGACCTGACCTGACCAAAAAATGCGGTTGGTGTCAAAAGATGCGGCTTGGATCAAAGGTCAGGTATGCCAAGTTTCAGCTCTCTATCGCCAGCGTGTTCGGAGCTATCGCGAAAAAACCCTATGGGGGGGGGGCGGCACCCGCCTCCCCCCCTCGGCCGGCGAGGGTTAACGTCCTGCCTCCGAGTCAAATGGTATCCGTGCGGCGTGCACACAGCACAGGTGACAGCTGGCAAAAATTATCTGCCACAGAGTAATAAATAGCCTCTTCGTGACATCTCAAAGCATGAGGTCGCCCAACACATGTTTAGGTTAAAAAAGTGTTTACACTTTGAAAAGTACAAATTTAGTGTTGAGACCTTATAAAATTTAAGACTAACTAGAACCGTACAAAAAATCTAAATAATTGCTGCTCTCGAAAACTGTTTACGTCGAAACATTTCACCGATTCGTGTTGCACCAAACCTAACGTTGAATTGGAATGAATTGTTGGGATTATTCAAGTATAAAATATCGCCACAAATACAGCGACTCATTATGGCAAAAGCTCATGAATATAGATATTACACTGCACACAAATTCACTGTGGCGCATGCAGATGGCTGTTGTAGTGCCCCAATCGGACCCGAATCAAATCACCTTTATGGATGCACGACCTTCCAAGGGTAATAAACAGAAAGCCAAATGCTTTCTTGAAATAAGCAATACGAAGCTATTCGACTAATTGCTTGCGATCTTTTGCGACGAGCCTGCCCCTTTAGGGGAAAAAAGGAAGAATCCGCAGGCACGTCACATATCATACGAAGACCGTTAGGCCAAATGGCAGGGTTTCACAAATATCAACGTGTTCATGCAACCATTGGTAATTAGCAGACAGTCGGGGTTACAGACACAGACATAGGTACTTTTCACGACAATGAGAGGTCTAAAACGACACAGAAGACGGCGCTTACTGACCCCACTCACCAGCCTGAAGATTGCCGCGGGGCTTGGCACCCAGGTAAGCCAGGTTGACGTTGGCCTTCCTGCCGTCGATGATGGGGTTGGGGTCTTTGCAGGCGCGCTCCGCCGCCGCCTTGTCCGCCATCGTCACCTGCGGAAGGGTCAGAGGTCATATATATCTGACACGTGACCTGGGTGACACGTGACACGGCAGTTCAGCGACATTTGCAGTCGGGGGAGGAATTGAACAGGGGGATCATAATAAACATCAGCGAGACGTTCTGACGACATTAGGCCGATCACTTTCCTTTAGCACAATCCCGTCATGGGTCTGTTTACCCGGACCAGTCCATTATCTGTCGCGGGGGAGGCACTTTGTTTGCCGGCGCCGCCGTGGGGTGTCGCCCCCAGCGTAGACCGCCGCCGCCCGGCGATTCTCGTGCGCCCAAAATAGAGGCGCACGAGCCTCCCCCGGACGGTGGCGGGGGGGGGGAGGGGGGTCCGTCGGGGAGGTCGGGTCCAGTTACCGGTGTCGGAGCCTCCCCGAGCCATCCTTCCCCTCCCCTCCCCTCCCGGCGGCGGCGTCTGGCGGGACAAGTGCCGCCGGTCTGCGAGACACAGCTGTGGTGGGATTCACACACACGCACAGACACACAGACACACAGCCGGCACCCAGCAGCAGGAGTCTCGGTAGACCGGTCCATCACCCGCCCGCCAAGTGTGGGTGATGGAGTCACAACAGCCTAGATGACGGGTGAGTCGTTTGTCAACTCACTGAGGCAGCCGTCACTTTTAACTTCATCTACATGAGGACATTTTTAGAGATAAATCGGGGACATAATTATGTGGAATCAGGCGTAATTATTAAAATACAAACAAAATTTAAAAACAGTGTGTGTTTTGAAAGGGAAATACTGTGTTTCTTATTAGCCTAGCCTAATGCAGGAAGTGTCTGAAACGTTCGGAAAGGAAGCGAGATTCAGGTAAAGAGGAAATTCGCTAGAGGTGCTCGAGTCCAGACCCTAGAGGAGCGGGAAGAGTGATGCACCGTACAGCGCTCACGTTGCAGGGCTGAGCCCAACATCGTGCACCATCCGGCAGGAGAGGCGCACGTGTCTGCCACGGTAGGAGAGACGCACGTGTCAGCCTCGACTGTCTGCTGCCCCGTGCGGGAGGTGAGCCAGTCGGCGACACACCCAGCCTGACACAGCTGCGTGACGGTGACACACCACTCCGAACAGATGGGCCAAACGGCGGCGGTAATACGAAAAACACTTTTTTATATGTGCGATAAATGAACCAAATAACAGCGAATAATACACGAAAATCGAAATACTTTTGGATAAATTTCATCATAAGGAAAAACGTTTACAAAAAATATCAGAGCTAGTCTGATCAATGTAGAGAAAGACCTGCAGTTGTGGCCTCCCGATTTCGTCGATTTAGACTATCGTGTTTCCTGTTTCCGGGAACAGTGGGCTGCTTTATCCGGCCACCCAGAAAGGCCCCTTTCATCCCCTGCCAGTGAAGCCCTGCCGCCTAACGGATGGGAACAGCCCCCGCCCCAGCTGCCCCGCTAACGTTTGTTTTCCTGAACTGCGCGAACTGCGATCCGCACGAGATACAATGCCATGAAATACATAAATAGAACGACAGACGTCCTGTGCCACAGCACCCTGTAGGACCTGAATGCACAAGGGGCCGGTTCACCGTGAAAAAATTAAGGCACGGTCCAACGATGACGTCACTTCTCGAACAGAACAGGTAAATGATGACGTCACTATCCGCCCACTGAAGATGACTACGTCATCCAAATATTGAAGCAGGGACGGCCGCACCTACACCCCATCCACGCCAAACGAGTCCGTGGGGGAATCAACTTTCGACAAGGCCGACAGTTTTGGCTGGACCTCCCCAGAGAAAACCCCTGTCTGGGACCCCTGCTGGGAGACCAACGTAAAGCGACGAAGGCGGAGATTTGGAGGTCATTCAACCATGAATTTTCCACATCAATTTTCTGTCGCTGGCCGTAGCGGTGGGGCCAGTGGAGCCCGTGGGGAGGAGAGGGGAGGGGAGGGGCCGGGGTGACAGAGAGGGGAGTCTGGCCGACTGCGGTGACCCGATGACCTTTCACAGCCGGGCCGGACGGCAGAGCCGTACGCCAACTGAGTCACCGTGTCCGACAGAGGCGCAGGGGAAGGGTGAGTACTGAGGAAAGGGCACTGAAAGAGGGCTCCCGAGCGGTCGCCAGCCCACGGCGAATGAAGCCAAAAGATGGTCCAGCGGGCAGCGGCATGCTTTTTGATAACATAACATAACATAACATATATTCCATGTAACAGCAGGCCACTTGGGCCCAACGAGGTTACAGGTAGATGAACAAACACTGTATGTAAAACACGGTACAATTACACCATTTCATCGAAGACTAGCCCACGCTGTTTATGATACAAGTCTAACTCATTTTTAAAATTACTTAAGGAGGAACTATTGATAACTCTAGGAGGTAAACCGTTCCAAGCTTCTATGATATTCTTGATACCGTCTGTCAACTTGCTGAGTCAATATGACCGGGGAGAACCGTCGATCCTTAGCCGGGCCTCCTTGTGATGCATCCTTTCACATCCCTCACCCTGACGACGGAGGTATAGGGGGGGGGGGAGGGGGCGACAGCTGGCAGTGAGTCAGCCAGTCGAGATGGCACAGGTGTCTAACGGGGGTGAGGGGGGGGGGTGTTCCTGCCCCTTCTACCTGTCTCTGTCTCGTCTCTGTGCTGTTCTTGATACCGAAGCCTTAACTGTTCGTCTGTTGCCTTTTTTTTTCTTCTGCGTGAGTCCAAGTGGTGTGTTTTTCTGTCCGTCTAAGTGTTTGTTCGAGTAAGTGTGTGCTCGAGTTCTTTTGAGCGCACAGCGCTCGTGCATCTTGTGTGTTTATGTGAAATATGACTGTCTTAGCATCTGGCGACTATGTTGTAGAAAATGTTTACTAACGGCACATCAGGATCGGCGAGCCAGACTTGAGGTAAATACAAGAAGAAGTATTCAACAGGAGTGCTGAGGATTCTCCACGCAAGGCTTGATGATCATGCTGCTACCCAGTATTTATCAAAGCCTTTGCTTTGATAAATGAGCTTAGTTAGAAAGGCTCGCTGAAAACCAGCATCACTCGTCGCTGTTTTGAAAACTGCGCTGCAGTTTAAACACATCACTGCACGACCATATGACAACTTATCGCGATCGAAGTTCAGAGCTGGTCACACCAAAACACCTCACTCCAATTCAACTTCAGCGGACAGCACCACAACAACGCACAAACGCAGCGCACGCCACACACGCACAAGCACGCTTACACCGCACGCAGCCTCGGTCAGCACCCCTTTCCCTTGCCGTTGTTGGCCATGAAATCGTCTGCCGGTGCTTCTTTCGTTTCGTTCTTTCAGTGAGAGCTTTGCCAGCTCTTTGTAAATCTAAGGCCGGCCGTGGGGACGTGGGGAGGGTATGGTTCGTCGGCGCTAGCCAACTCCACCGCGGCACACGGCCTACAGTGGAAACCACAACAGCCAGGCACATGCCAATTGCCAACTGCGGTGAAATCAAAACAGTTTGATGGCTCATAAATTCAGCCCCATTCAATAATGACCTGCTGTTATGAAAATAATTTTTGGCATATGAAAAACAAGAGGTTTCCTTTTAGATTTAAGAAACATAAAACTGTTCAACAATCTCGTTAGCTTATCTTCAAATCTCCCCACGGCCGACATGGCTGAAGCAGCAATCAGACAGGTGACAACTGACCTATCGCTTCTTCTCTCCAAGAAGCTGCTTAGCTGACAGCTCTCACAGCCTGAAGCTGGCAGCTGGCAACCTGAGACACGCACACACGACTCGAAGCTAAGCCTGGCCGGCGTGCATTGCACACACACGTGGGCCCCCTGGGCCGAGCCAGACTCGTCAGGTGAAAAAGCGGCATCACACGTCAGTGAGGAAACGTCCCTTCCTCCCTGTCCGGCACACTCGGCGGAACATGTCCCCTTTGTTTCCTAACAGGACGGCCAAGCAGTGGATGATCCCTGAAGCGCAACTTTGGCGCAGAATTACCAGAAGAAATTAAGCCGTCGTTGAAGATGCTTTTGTTGAAAAGCAGCACGGCAAAACAATATTCGTCACGTAGTTTTCTGGATAACCGGAAGTAATTTTTAAAGTTTCTACTTTAGTTGCACAAAAGAAACGCAAATTTAATGAAGCATTATTTAGATTCAGTGAAATTTGCCGTAGCTTCAGCGAGCGAACAGAAACATCGGTAAAATCCTCACTTTGCCAAGACGGAGAAGTTCTTCGTTTGGCGGCGTCCACAGGATCGCATTAACAAAAACGTTAATCATGGCTAGGCTACCCAAAAACGTCTATCACATATTGAAAACCACAGCACAGCATCGGGAGGCGACTATATGTCAGCCGGCGGGGCCGCCACTGGCGGGGCCAATTTTTCAGATGCGGCGGCCGCCCTCTCCACCGCTAGAGAGGAAAATCACAGGTGGCTAACTGGAACTCATGCATGGTACCACACGTAGAGAGAACACGCCAAAACCATGCCGGGTTTTAGTAGTTGTAAACAAACTGAAAATAGAGACTGTGATCGTTCGCAATTTAGGTGGACCATTCACTGCTTAGGACCAAGATTTGTTATTGACATTATCACTGGAAACAAACAAAACTAATATCAATAGCAATCAAATAAAACACCACCCAAAAGTATCTAGCCAGTCCAAAGATTCACCGCACTGCCACTGCAAGATCCACGCTGCCCCTTACGATTGTCAACATGGGCCGAAGCGCACAACGGGTCGGGCGGCTCCATGGTTAGCCGGCAGCGGGTACAAAGTGCCCGCCGGACAGCTAGAAAACCAGGACACGGGTCAGCAGCGCTGCCAAACAGAGGGTGAGCGATGTGCTGTCCCCCAGCCCACCCAACAGCATACACGGGTAGTCTGACGCCGGCGGTTCTGTGGGAAAAATAGTTAATTGTGATGAGTCAGTGGATGGAAGCTTAATTGGTATTCCTCAGTTTAAATTTGCGCAGTTCTCAGGGAACAGCTAAAACATATCCAACTTTTTGACTCCGCTCCAGTAAAGATCGAGTCCTAACTGGTTT